CGTCGTGTCCCTCCTTCCTTCTCCGTCCTCCCTCCTATCTCCACCCCCTCCCTCATCCCGCCCTCCTCTCCCCTTTCCCCTCCGTCCGCCCTCACGTCCCCTTTTTCCCTTCGCCCCACCTCCCTCATCCCGCCCCCTCCTCCTCCGAAAGTTTTCAGCCCTTGCGTTGTTCTTCGGCTGTGCCGTCTGCGTACGCTGTGCCCGCCAGTTCTCAGCGGTAGGTGCTGGCCACCAGCGCTGCATGTCCGAATCCAGAGTCTGTCTTGAATTTGAGGCCTTGCTTGCTCGTATCAGGGCAAACGCGGGAGCGGTCCAGCCGTCAGCAGGAGCTCTCCTGATAGTGGCGCGCCCTTCGCGCCGCGCCGCGTGTTTTCCTGAAGCGGTGGTCGTGCGCTGCCCGCCCAAGTCAGCCTGGAGCAAGTGTGACGTTGTCGAGTCTTACACTTGTGGCACTTCCTTACAATCTATCCAGATGCCGCGCCCTCGACGCTCAAGAATCACGCTCTCGCTGTGAATATCCTCACGATTTACTTGGGGGCCTCTGGGCGCCTAGTGGGGCCTCATTAGCTCCCCAGGGGCCTATTTGGGGCCCTCTGGGCGCCTCGGTCGTCGTCCTCGCCCGCGGCCCACTCCGCGACCCACCCCCAACCCGCCCCCGCACTCTTACCTCTTACCCGCAGTTGCGGGGTGCTACGTATGTTTCTGATTATCCTGGAGCCCGAAGATGGCCCCATAGGCAGAACACAGCGAAACATCACGCACCCTCTGTTGTGAAGACGTCTTGGGGGGCCCCGCAGACCTCCAGAGGCGAAGACAGGGCGAGCAGCGTGCCCCTCCTTACCCTCCGATCCTCAATTCTCGATCCAAACCCTCCGATCATTGCAAAAGGGCCTGCCCGCCTATCGCCCTGCACGTCCCCGAGGACGCGAAGCAGCACAGACCGACGGCGCAGACCAGAGCCCTGTCGGCACGCCCGTATGTACCCCTGGGTAAAGAACCCAAGGTCTGGAGAAGTCCCGCAGAGGCACCCACGAGGCCCCTTGGAAGCCTCCCAGAGGCCCCCTGGAAGCCTCCGATCCTCGATCCCAGGTCTCCGATCCCCACCCTCCGAACTTCGATCCGCGGGTCCCGGGCTGAGGGCGTCGTCTACTCGGCAGACCTCGCCAAGAGCGGCGTCAACCGGGGCGCCCTGGCGACCGCGTCGAAGGACGGCACCGTCAAGGCTTGCCTCCCTGCGCCGGGCGCCCCCCTCCTCCTCCTCCTCCTCCTCCTCCTCCTTCTCCTCTTCCTCCTCCTCCTCCTCCTCCTCCTCCTCGTCCTCCTCCTCCTCCTCCTCCTCCTCCTCCTCCTCCTCCTCCTCCTCCTCCTCCTCCTCCTCCCCCCGAGCCACCTTTTTGACGTTGTTCGGACCTGAAGAGCAAGCTTGTGGCGTTCAGACAATCAGTACTAGGCCTCAAGGAGTACACTTGTCGACTCAGGTTAAGTCCGGCCTGTCCCTCTGCAGGAGGAGTATTCCAACATAGTCAAAGCATGAGACGGTTCGTGTGTATTTTTTGACCATTTTGGTGTATTGTTGGACTATTTTTTATTTGTCGTCCAAAGTCCGCCTTTACGGGGGACACGCCCAATCTGGCGCTTGCGGTGTCCAGAAAAAACAGTACTAGGCCTCAAGGAATACAACAAATCAAGTCAGCCGCCAGTGCGGACAATGGATGTGCAAAGAGCTGCGAAAACAAAAAGCGTGGGCCAAGAGTGATCAGGCAGCCGCCGCGTGGAGGGAGCGAGGTCTCGAGCCACTCCCCTCCCCTCTCCCCCTCCGGCTGGCTCCCTGTCTCAGGCTGGGGGCGCGCTCGCCTCGATCGACTCCGATTCTAGGCCTCCCAGATGGGGTCGGAGTGATGGGGTCGGAGGATCTCGCCGCATCGCCGTTGCATCGGCGATGTGGCTCGATGCGGAGCCCGATTTTCTCCACGCTTGCATCGCCGATGCATCGTCGTTGTCGCGCATGCATCGCCCATGCATCGGCGATGTATCGGCGATGCGGCGCGATCCTCCCCCATCTCCTCCGACCCCGTCTAGGGCGACTCTATCCGATGCCGCAGCCTCTCCAATTCAGTCTCCCTGCCTCGGCGTTGCCCTTGTCTCTCCCCCCGCCTCCGCAGGGGCAACGATCGGGGGATGGGCATATGGCATATGGGGGGATGCATCGACCCCCCACCCCCAATCGCCCATTCATCGCCGATGGGGGCCCGATAGCCCCAATCTGCCCAGGAACGAGCGGAGTCACTATCGGGGGCCTATCGCCGATTTCATGTCGATGTGTCGAGGATGATGAGGAGCAGGAGCAGGAGCAGGAGGAGAAGGGGGAGGAGGAGGAGGAGGAGGAGGAGGAGGAGGAGGAGGAGGAGGAGGAGGAGGAGGATGAGGAGGAGGAGGAGGAGGAGGAGGAGGAGGAGGAGGAGGAGGAGGCGGAGTGGGGAGGAGCGAGAGAGCGAGCGAGCAGAAGCCGAGAGGCGGTTGGACGGGCCACGGGCCGAGGGCCCGCAGATGCCAGCCCCGAGACCCCAGCAGCCCCGCGCGCAGCACTGCCTAGCAAAAACACAAGCTGCACAAACATCGAAACCGTCGAGAGACGGCTCGGGATGGAGAGTTGATCCTGGGCCTACGACTCGTTGCCCTCAGAACCCCTTCCAATGGAAGGGCAAATCACGACATAATTTTTCGGAGCTCCGCCCGGATTTCTTGGGTCGGCGCTTGGACCCCCCTCCCTGGCGCGCGGAGCGCACCCTTGGGGAGCCCAGCACCGAGCCAAGAACTCCGCGAGGAGCTACAGCAGTTCATGTCTGGGTATGTTGTTTTGCTCTTCGATCTTACCTCCCCCCTGTCACTTCTTTTTGGGGCCCAGCGCCGCTCCAAGAAATCCGCGCGGAGCTCCGACGGTTTATGTCGTGATCTGCCCTTCCGCTGGAAGGGGTTCTGAGGGCGGCGAGTCGTAGGCCCAGGACCGACTCCATCCCGAGCCGTCTCTCGGCGGTTCCGAGGCCCGCGGAGGCCCCCCTGGCCCCGAGAGCGGCAACCCAAAGTCCAGGATCCTTTCCCCCCGGACATCCGCCCATATGGTCTTTTTGGGCGTCTCGTAACGGGGGTTGGTATATCCATCTTCGAGCAGGGGCCTAATCGGGCATGCTCCCGACTAGTCAGGCTTGATCCCGCGTACTCCTGTCCAGCTGGGCCTCATCCTGTCCACAACCTGGGCTAGTCAAGCCGCATGGCCCGTCAATCGGGCTTGATAGCCATTACTCGCTTCTACGAAGACCTCCTAGAAGTTGCCTCCTCATCTGGCCCCCAGACATCCGGCGTTGGTATTTTGTTTCACACCGTGGCCTGTTAGAGGTTTGGACCTTCCCTGGGACCAGCGTTTTATCCCAGATTGTTTTTTTTACCGTCCTTGGGCCCAGCGAGGGCCCCCATCCAGAGGTCTGGACGACTTTCTTTCTTTTCTCCCTGTGTCGTTTTGTTGAAGGTTCCGGGGCCCATTGAGGGCCCCGGAAGGCCGAAAATGGTCGAAGACTGGCCGCTCCAGTCTTTGCCGGATCTTTGTATTTCTGGGTCGTCCTCGTCCTCGTCCTCCTCCTCCTCCTCCTCCTCCTCCTCCCACCTGCCTGCATCGCCGTGGTGGGGAGAGGATTAGCGAGATAGCCTATCCAGCAACGGGCTGCCAGGCACTACACACAATTTTTGCCATTCTGGCTTGGCATGTAGCCCACTCGTCGAGTACAGCTCCTCCTCCTCCTCCTCCTCCTCCTCCTCCTCCTCCTCCTCCCTGCTCCTCCTCCTCCTCCTCCTCTTCCTCCTCCTCCCTCCTCCTCCTCCTCCTCCTCCTCCTCCTCCTCCTCCTCCTCGGAGAACAAGCTCAGGTCTGGGACGCGCGGGGCTCGCCGACTGCCATGCGGGCCGTCGCGGAGATCCCCGAGGCGCGGCGGCGCGCGCACCGCGCGCGCGCGGCTGGGCTGCCCGGCGGCGGCCGGCGCCCATGGCTTTTTCGGCGGGGGGGGGGCATGGAGGTCTCCCCTCGATGCTCCTCCTCGATCCTCCTCCTCGGTCCTCCTCCTCCTCGGTCCTCCTCCTCGATCCTCCTCCTCGAGCCTCCCCCTCGATCCTCCTCCCCCTCGATCCTCCTCCTCCTCGATCCTCCCCCTCGATCCTCCTCTTCGATCCTCCTCCTCGATCCTCGTCGATCCTGGATCCTCCTCCTCCTCCTGGTCGATCCCGCCGTGCCTCGGGTGCCAGCCAGCCCAATGTCGGCGGCGAGCAAGGGGGGGCGTGAGAAGAAGGAGGCCCTCTCGGGGCTTCGCAGAAGCCATCGCGCCTGTTCAGAAGTTTTCTCTGTCTTCGGGAAAGGCTTGGGACACTTGTAAGAAGGCCTGGGGACTTCCGAGCCTTCTGAGAAGGCCCGCCACTTCTCATTTCCCCCCCGGGCTCGCCGCCGAACGACGCGCAAAAACGGGTTCGTGTCCGCCGACATTGGCGCGTATACTGCCATCGTAAGGTCGCGGCTCCTAAATTCGAGTAGGGGATCGACTAGACAATTGATTTACCCAGACTTGATGTTCGCGTCGAATCCATGGTTGATGCGCAGGACGTTCGTAGGATCTACGAACGTTATCCGCATGTGTTTCCGGATTCCACACATGTTGTGAATGAACATCAGTCGCGGGGTGAACAAATTCTTGAGTCGATCCAATACTCGACAAATGAGCGACGCAAGAAACTGGGGTCGCCTGCGCCGACATGGGCGTGCAAGCTGCTCGCGTAAGGTCGCGCGTCAGCTCCCTCGCCTCAGCGTAGCGTGCCGCGCTGGCGGCCCGCGGAAGCCACCGCGTGAGGTCGGTAATTCTGCCATCTCGCGTTAAGCCCGTCTTTGATCTTCGCTCCAACGAGCGACTCGAAACAACGGGTTCGTCTGTGCCAGCGTTGGCGCGTGGCGGCTCGCGCAAGGTCCCACTGCGGCCTGCCGCGCCGGCGGCCAGCGTAAGCCACCGCGTGAGGTCCACATGCCATCTCGCGTAAGGTCCGCTTCGTTTCGTCGCTCAGCAGGAGGACCTGGTGAGGAGGAGGAGGAGGAGGAGGAGGAGGAGGAGGATGAGGAGGTGGAGAAGGACCTGGAGAGGAGGAGGAGGAGGACGAAGCGGAGGCGGGAGGCGAAGAGGCGGGAGGCGAGAGGAGCGTCGGTTCAGACAATCAAGCCAGACGACGAGAACACCCTGTTGCAAATATTGTGGCAGCATAGGGGGCGGTTTCGTCCCTGGCGGGCCCTTCCGAGCCAGACTCGCTACAGATCATGTGCATGTAATTAAAGGCAAGGAAGCATCGCTCCAGCATGTGCTCCAACCAGGCCCCAGGTCTCCCTACATGTGCCTGGGTCGGTGGATCGCGCTGCATCGCCGATGCATCGGCGATGCGGCTTGATGTGGAGCCCGATTTTCTCCACGCCGACGTCGCCGATGCGTCGCCGACGTCGTTGATGCATCGCCGATGAATTTGCCATGCGGCGCGATCCTCCGACCCCATCTACTCGGACAGCTACCAGTGAGTGGCCGGCCGGCTGGCTTCCTCTGCGATCCTCCTCTCCTCTTCCTCCCTGCCCCTCGCTCTGTAGCGGCGTGCCACCTCGGTTTTACACTCCTGGATTTTCCGGGCGCCTCGGCCCCACCTTGCAGCACCCCCGCTGTGCAAGATTCGGCGGTGAGCGGGGGAGGGGAAGTGAGAAGGAGAGCAGGCCTCCTCAGAGGACGGCGGGCCTTCTCAGAAGCCCCCTCGCCGTCCGAGAAGTGTCCTGTGTCGTCCGGGGAAGGCTCACTCAGGAAGCTTCCTCGGAGGGCCGGGGGACTTCCGAGCCTTCTGAGCAGGCCCGCCCCTTCTCAGTTCTCCTTGCCTCCCTGGGGCTCGCCTCCGACCCTCCCCCCCGTCCCCTGCCGCCTGCGAAGGCCTCGACCCCCGTGCCAAGGCCCGGGCGGGCGGCAGTGGGGGGTGACCTGAACGGGGGCTGGCGAAAGGGGCCTTAAAAAAGGGGCCTTTTAGAGCCCCTTTTGGAGCCGGCAGGGACCCCAAAGGGGCCCTACTGTAGGGGCCCGACCGCAAGACACCTTCCACCAGAACCCAGCCCTGAGACCCCAGGGTGTCCGTGGATTTTTGGTGTGGGAACGTCGCGCGCTCCACAGCAAGACCATCGACACCCATGAGACACCGAGCACCCATGGAGGCAAGCAGGGTGCTTCTTGGCATGGGCCTCCACTGCAGAGGCCCCCTCTCGCTTCTCCCCCCCCCCCCCGCGCCCGTCGCCGAAAGCTGCAGGCCGAGCTCCCGTCCCCCCTCCCCCCCCCCTGGGCGCCCCGACGTTCCGCTGCCGCGCTGGGGGCCCGGGGCGCACATCGCGTGCCCCAAGCGCGTGCCGCGGCCCCCCCCCCCGCTGGCCCCGGGGCCTCTGGGACGCGTTTGGGCGGCGGGGCGCTCGCCCAGAGAGGAGGGAAGGCGAGAGGAGGAAATCATGGTGCCCGTGCCTCTACCATTCCCCCGTTCTCCTGCGTTTTCGGGCCTCATCGGAGGCCCTCGTCGCCAGCGCTGGATTCGCCTCGAAAGTCTGGTCAGAGCGCACCCCGGGGAGAGGCCCGGGGAGCCGCGGCATCGGTACCTGTTGGTTTCTGGGGCGGGGGCCTGGGTGAGGCGCCGTCTCTGCAGGCCCGCCTTCCGTCGGAAGAGGGGCCTCCAGGACCCCATGTCCTGTCTTTTCCTCCAGAGCCAGGCTGAATCCTGGCTTGCCCCACCTTTCGACCCGCGGAGGTCCGCCGAGACGGTGCCAGACCGAAAAGGGCGGCACCCAAAGAGCAGAGCCCCCCCCAACCAACAAAGCGAGGTAGGATCGAAGAGCAAAAACGGCACACGTAGGCATAAACGTTCCGGCGGAGGGTCTCGTGTTTTTGAGGGATGTTATCCTGTCCTGGGTTCGACTGTAGCTGCCTTGATACGCCCGTTTCGATACGCAACACGTGCCGTGCTCAAAGCGTCCGTGTCAATACACTGCGTGTTGGCTCAGCGTATTGGCCCACGTATTGGCGAACTAATCGCGTCGGACCTACGTTTCCAGTCTACGTGCTGATCTCCTCATCAATGCTCCGCGTGTTGCGTGTTGCGTGTCGTGGGAGCTGCGTGCAGAAAGGGCCCTTCCCGCGGCAAGCGCGGAGTGCTGCGACCAGGCTGGGCGGATCGGACCACGGCGCGGAGCCACGATCGGACACGACGTCTCCTGGCACGAGGCCCCCAGAGGCTCCCCCCACTGATGGTCCAGGGCCCGCCCGTCCCCCCCCCGATGGAACCCCCCTCCCTCTGTGGGGTGTGGGGTGGTGCCGCTGTGGGCCCCTCGTCGGGCTCTATTCTTCGTGGCTCGTGTCGCGTGCGCTGAACCCTCGGCGTCGTCGTTCGTCGCTCGTCGCTCGTCGCTCGCCTCCGTCGTCGTCGTCGTCGTCGTCGTCGTCGTCGTCGTCGTCGTCGTCGTCGTCGTCGTCTTCGTCGTCGTCGTCGTCGTCTCCGTCGTCGTCGTCGTCGTCGTCGTCGTCGTTGTCGTCAACGTCGTCGTCGTCAACGTCGTCGCCGTCGTCGTCGTCGTCGTCGTTCTCCCCACCCAAATCTCATTCAGGGTGGAGGCCCAGCGCCCTTGAACCCATCCCGTCAGGGCGGGGTCGGGGCCCGCGGGCCCCGAGCGTGGGAACATACATGCCCAGGTCCCCCTGACTTCCCAATAGCCTTCCTGTCCCCAAGAGAGCTCTAAGACGTTCCTCTGGGGCCGTCTTGGGGCAGGGGAGGGCAGCGACGGGGGGGAACATCGATGCTCAGTGTCGCATGCCTATTTGTATGTAGTGGTGCACCCTTCGCCCTGACTCGAGCACCCACTTGCGCCATCAGCGACGAACGCGTTGGCTTCCAAGCCCACATCTCCCTTTCAATCGGGCACGGCCCCCTTACCCCGCTGAGTGCTAGACTCTTAAGATGGGTGTAACATGAGCGCGCGCGCGCGAAGCGCGCGCAATGGTGATGGTGTGCGCGCGCGTGTGTGTGTGTGTGTGTGTGTGTGTGTGTGTGTGTGTGTGTGTGTGTGTGTGTGTGTGTGTGCGTGCGTGCGTGCGTGCGTGCGTGCGTGCGTGCGTGCGTGCGTGCGTGCGTGCGTGCGTGCGCGCGCGCGTGTGTGTGGGTGTGTGTGTGTAATTATGTGTGCGTGCGTGTATCTTGACCGTCTGTAGGCCATTTTGACCCTTTCGGGCCTTCTTGGAGGACGTCTTGGAGGGCTCGTGGGCCGTCTTGGAGGCCATCTTGAGCGTCTTGGAGGCCTCTTGGGCCGTCTTGGGGGCCTCTTGGGGCCGCGTCTTGGGCCTCTTGGGTGATCTTTGGGGGCTCTTGGGCAGTCTCGGGCCGACGGAAGGCAGAACAAAAGCAAATGCAACAATCCTTCAAACACCTTTGGGAAATCAATGATTTTGGCCTTTTCGGGCATTCCTGGAGGCCCTCTTGGAGGCCTCTTGGGCCGTCTTGGGCAATCTTAGGACCATGTTCGGCCGTCTTGGTGGGCTCCTGGTCCGTCTGACGCCGTCGGAAGCCGTTTGGGGGGCCTATGTGGGCCGACTTGGGGCCCTCTTGGAATGATGCAGGGGGGTCTTCGAGGCCATCTGGGGCGTCTTAAAGACCTCCTGTGCCGTCTTGGGGGCCTCTTGGGGCCGTCTTGGGGCCCTCTTGGGCCCTTCTGGGGCCATCTTGGAGGCCTCTTGGGCGATCTTTCGGCGATCTTTGGGGGCTCTTGGGCCGTCTCGGGCCGTCGGAAGGCAGAAACAAAGCAAATGTCAAAATCCGCCCAAAACCTGAGGACAATCAATGCTTTTGGCCTCTTCTGGCATTCCTGGAGGCCCTCTTGGGGGCATCTTGGGCCGTCTTGGGCCAGCTTCGAGCCAACTTCGGCCATCTTGGTGGGTTCCTGGCACGTCTGACGCCGTCGGGAGCCGTCTTGGGGGCCTTTTCTGGGCCGACTTGGGGCCCTCTTGGGGCGCTTCGGGGCCGTCTTGGAGGCCATCTTGGGCGTCTTGGAGGCCATCTTGGGTGTGTTGGAGGCCTCTTGGGCCGTCTTGGGGCCCTCTTGGGGCCGTCTTGGAGGCCACTTGGGCCGTCATGGGTCCCTCTTGGGGGCCTCTTGGGCGATCTTGGGGCGATCTTGGGAGTTTCTTGGGCCGTCTGAGGCCGTCGGAATGCCGAGAAGAAACACATGCCCAACATCCTTCAACAACCTAAGGAAAATCAATGATTTTGGCCTCTTTGGGCCTTCCTGGAGGACATCTTGGAGGCCTCTTGGGCCGTCTTGGAGGCCTCTTAGAGGCCTCTTGGGCCGTCTGAGGCCATGTTGACGCTATCGTAGGCCGTGTTGAGCGCATCTTGGCTCGTTTCGGAGGCATCTTGGAGCCACTTTAGCCGTCTTGGAAGCCACCTTGGCCGTCTTGGATGCATCTTGGAGACCATCTTGGGCCGTCTTGGAGCCGTCTGGAGCACGAACAACCTCTGCAACCGGGTTTTCGGCAATCTCCTGGGACCCCGGCGGGACGGGCCGACGCCCCAGGGAGAGTTCTTTTGGAAAAAGAGCCAAAACCAAAATCGAGAGGATTTGGCACGCCAGGCACCACTTTGATAAATCAAAAGGGGGCGGCGGACCGAAGACGCCTACGGCGAATCACCGCCGCCAACTGCCTTTCTGGAACCGCCTATGTGGCCGAACGTTGAGGCCAGACCTGCCAAGCTATCGGACCATGTGTTCCCAGAATCGGTCTGGAAAGCCTTCGGGGAACACGTGGGCATCTGAAGGTCATCTTGGCCGTCTGGAGGCCATTTTGACCCTTTCGGGCCTTCTTGGAGGACGTCTTGGAGGGCTCTTGGGCCGTCTTGGAGGCCATCTTGAGCGTCTTGGAGGCCTCTTGGGCCGTCTTGGGAGCCTCTTGGGGCCGCGTCTTGGGCCTCTTGGGCGATCTTTGGGGGCTCTTGGGCAGTCTCGGGCCGACGGAAGGCAGAACAAAAGCAAATGCCGCAATCCTTCAAACACCAGTGGGAAATCAATGATTTTGGCCTTTTCGGGCCTTCCTGGAGGCCCTCTTGGAGGCCTCTTGGGCCGTCTTGGGCCATCTTAGGGCCATGTTCGGCCGTCTTGGTGGGCTCCTGGTCCGTCTGACGTTCGAGCCAACTTCGGCCGTCTTGGTGGGTTCCTGGTCCGTCTGACGCCGTCGGAAGCCGTTTGGGGGGCCTATGTGGGCCGACTTGGGGCCCTCTTGGAATGCTCCAGAGCCATCTTCGAGGCCATCTTGGGTGTCTTAAAGCCTCTTGGGCTGTCTTGGGGGCCTCTTGGGGCCTTCTTGGGGCCCTCTTGGGGCGTTCTGGGGCCATCTTGGAGGCCTCTTGGGCGATCTTTCGGTTATCTTTGGGGCCCTTGGGCCGTCTCGGGCCGTCGGAAGGCCGAAAAGAAGCAAATGTCAAAATCCGCCAAACACCTAAGGACAATCAAGGTCTTTGACCTCTTCTGGCCTTCCTGGAGGCCCTCTTGGGGGCCTCTTGGGCCGTCTTGGGCCAGCTTCGAGCCAACTTCGGCCATCTTGGTGGATTCCTGGCACGTCTGACGCCGTCGGGAGCCGTATTGGGGGCCTTTCTGGGCCGACTTGGGGCCCTCTTGGGGCGCTTCTGGGCCGTTTTGGGGCCCTCTTGGGGCCGTCTTGGAGGCCACTTGGGCCGTCTTGGGTCCCTCTTGGGGCGATCTTGTGGGCCTCTTGGGCCGTCTTGAGCCGTCGGAATGCCGAGAAGGAGCAAATGTCAACATCCTTCAAACTCCTAAGGAAAATCAATGATTTTGGCCTCCTCGGGCCCTCCTGGAGGACCTCTTGGAGGCCTCTTGGGTCGTCTTGGGTCGTCTTGGAGGCGTCTTGGGCGACCTTGGAGGCCATCTTGGAGGCCGTCTTGGGCCGTCTTGGAGGCCGTCTTGGACCATCTTGGGCGGACTTGGAGTCCATCTTGGACCATCTTGGAGGCCATCTTGGGCCAACGTGGCCATCTTGGAGGCCATCTTGAACCATCTTGGAGGATTTTTTTCCGGATTGAGCTCCTTGAGACCCTTTCCGGGTGGCCGGCGGGACGGGCCGAAGCCCCAGGGGGAGTTCTTTTGAACAACCAAAAGCCATGTCGTCCGGCACGCCAGGTACCCCTTTGATAAATCAAAAGGGGGCGGCGGATCGAAGACGCCTACGGCGAATCACCGCCGCCCCCTGCCTTCTTGAAAGCGCCTATGTGGCCGAACGTTGAGGCCAGACCTGCCAAGCTACATTTTGACCCTTTCGGGCCTTCTTGGAGGACGTCTTGGAGGGCTCTTGGGCCGTCTTGGAGGCCATCTTGAGCGTCTTGGAGGCCATCTTGGGTGTGTTGGAGGCCTCTTGGGCCGTCTTGGGGCCCTCTTGGGGCCGTCTTGGAGGCCACTTGGGCCGTCACGGGTCCCTCTTGGGGCGATTTTGTGGGCCTCTTGGGCCGTCTTGAGCCGTCGGAATGCCGAGAAGAAGCAAATGTCAACATCCTTCAAACTCCTAAGGAAAATCGATGATTTTGGCCTCCTCGGGCCCTCCTGGAGGACCTCTTGGAGGCCTCTTGGGTCGTCTTGGGCCGTCTTGGAGGCGTCTTGGGCGACCTTGGAGGCCATCTTGGAGGCCGTCTTGGGCCGTCTTGGAGGCCGTCTTGGACCATCTTGGGCGGACTTGGAGGCCATCTTGGACCATCTTGGAGGCCATCTTGGGCCAACGTGGCCATCTTGGAGGCCATCTTGAACCATCTTGGAGGATTTTTGTTCCGGATTGAGCTCCTTGAGACCCTTTCCGGGTGGCCGGCGGGACGGGCCGAAGCCCCAGGGGGAGTTCTTTTGGACAACCAAAAGCCATGTCGTCCAGCACGCCAGGTACCCCTTTGATAAATCAAAAGGGGGCGGCGGATCGAAGACGCCTACGGCGAATCACCGCCGCCCCCTGCCTTCTTGAAAGCGCCTATGTGGCCGAACGTTGAGGCCAGACCTGCCAAGCTACATTTTGACCCTTTCGGGCCTTCTTGGAGGACGTCTTGGAGGGCTCTTGGGCCGTCTTGGAGGCCATCTTGAGCGTCTTGGAGGCCTCTTGGGCCGTCTTGGGGGCCTCTTGGGGCCGTGTCTTGGGCCTCTTGGGCGATCTTTGGGGGCTCTTGGGCAGTCTCGGGCCGTCGGAAGGCAGAACAAAAGCAAATGCCGCAATCCTTCAAACACCCATGAGAAATCAATGATTTTGGCCTTTTCGGGCTTCTGGAGGCCCTCTTGGAGGCCTCTTGGGCCGTCTTGGGCCATCTTGGGGCCATGTTCGGCCGTCTTGGTGGGCTCCTGGTCCGTCTGACGCCGTCGGAAGCCGTTTGGGGGGCCTCTATGGGCCGACTTGGGGCCCTCTTGGAATGCTCCAGGGCCGTCTTGGAGGCCATCTTCGGCGTCTTAGGGGCCTCTTGGGGCCGTCTTGGGGGTCTCTTGGGGCCGTCTTGGGGCCCTCTTGGGCCGTTCTGGGGCCATCTTGGAGGCCTCTTGGGCGATCTTTTGGCGATCTTTGGGGGCTCTCCCCCCCCTCCCCCCCTTCCCCGGCAGAGCCCCCCCGGCCCCCCCCAGCAGAGCTGAAGCTCAGGCTGCAGGCTGTAGGCTGTAGCTGAGGCTTTGTCGAACTCACGCGCCGGATCGGCGGATCTGCATGCTTGGATCGATGTATTCTCTCACTCTCTATGCGCAAGCTCGGCCCCCGACCCGCCCGGCCCGCCCCGCGCGCCGACCCGAGAAAACGAGCTCCCGACCCGCCTGGGCGCACCCTGCGCGCCGCGGCCGCCAGGCCCACCGTGCGCCGGCGCTCTCTGGAAATCCCGCCTCGTGTCTTCGTCGCGTGACGAGCGACGACTGCGTGCCGCGGCAGCCAGGCCCGCCGCGCGCTCCCGGGTGGGGATCAGTCGAAGCAAGATAATTATTAGTCATCGTTCGGTGCAAAAGAAACCGTATTCCGAATGACGCCATGAAGACGCGGCCTCACTGGCGTCCCCGTCTTCGCGTTGGGGATGATCGATCTGGGCGGTTTGGTCGGATAAATCCGCAGAAAAAAAAACCTATCCCTAGAGCTCTGGGCCCTCCAAACTTAGGTCCCCTCCCCGAAGGGTTAGGGGTACTTTGGATGCTTATCAAGTCATGTTTTCCTTTTTCGTTTGACCCCTTCCCCCCCACCCCCCGGATATACAGGACTCCCCAGAGCCCCCCGACCCCTACGGGCCAGCTCGCCGCTCCGAGACGCTCTCGGCCCCGCGGCCCGGCGCGCCGAGATGGCTCAGGGCCCCCTGTTGCTGAGACCACCCTCGGACCCGTTGCCCTCCTGGTTTGCCCGGCGGCGCTCAGAATCGCGATGTGGTAGGGCCTCTAGGCGCCCCAACATGCTAATACCATGTGTGCGCCGACCCCTAGGGGCGACGCGCGCACCGAGAAATCTTACAGTATATCTGTCTTGGCGTGCGCTTCCTGGCCACGCCGCTCGGGGAGCGATATGCTACAAGGTGGGTGCACTACATGTTCGGGTCGGACGCATGTCTCCAGGGCGGACATTTAGTGCCGGTAGGTCTCTGTGCGTCTCGCTTCTCGCGAGGAAGAACGCAGGCTCGGTCCGACGCGGGGCCTCTGGACAGCGGGAGTCCGGGGACCCTCGATCCTTGGGCCGCGGGCCTCGGGCGCGGCCCTCGATCCCGGGCCCGGGGATCGAGAGCCCCCGCTCCTCGGGCGCCGAGCCCCCGAGCCTCGCGCGGCGCCGCCCAGGCGGCCGCTGGAGGTGCCGCGTGGCAGGCGCTGTGGCGGGGCGACTACGAGGCCGCGGCCCGGGCGGGTGGGGGCGGGGCGGTCCCCGAGCGGGGGCGCCTCGCGGGCGCTGCAGCGCTGTCGCGCCAGGCGTTGCCGCGGGGTCTCTTCTCTGGGGCCGAGGCCAGCACGGGGATCGGTCGGGCTCGGGAGAGTGCGGCAGAGCTCCCCGAGATCCCGGCGACGCAATTTTTTGTCGAGGCGGGCGTCTTCGCCCGATGTCGGGCCCTGGGGCCCTCACGGGTCGATCTTGCTCGAAAAAGGACTCAGGAAGATGGGGTCGTGGTGCTGCGGCCGTGATTTTTTACGATGGTTGAAATTTGTTCGAGACGTTGGATCTCAGGGGCAGCAGATTTGGACGAGAAAGTGCAGTCCACCCGCATATAGCAAGGAAGGTCAACCTGCCCAACTAAGGATATATACCCTTGCATCCTTGCCTCCTCTGCCCATCCTGGGCCACTTTCGCTGGCCGCGCCCCGCTCGAGAAGCCCCGAAATGGCCTTGCACGGCCCTTGGCGTCCTTGCCGCGCATCCTTATGAGACGGGTCGGCTGCATCGTGTCTGGGGCCACGAAGGCTTTCAGATTTCTCATGACCTCCGCTGCTTCTCTCGGTGCTCTCCCTGGCCCGCTTCCCTGGCCCGCTGGCCCTGGCGGTGCGCTGCTCCCCCCCCTTTCCCGGGGCCCCCTCTCCTCTGGACGCCCGAAATGGGCACGGAACGAATGGCGGGTACAATGCCCAACAGCAGTTCTTGTTCATTTTGAACAGGATTCGCTGTCCACGCCGCCGCGGCTTGTGTCCATTAGAGACAGAAGGCCGCCTGCCCAACAGTGGCCGCTGTTGGTTTGGGACAACATTTGTTGTTGGGCATCGTACCCATTCTTTCCGTGCGCACCCGATCCGAGGTCCCAGAGCGGGAGCACCGCCATGGGGACGGAGCGACCTTCGCAGGCGATTTTTCCCTCGGCGGCGAGCGATGGGGGTGGAACGACAAGGAGGAGGCTTTCTCAGGAGGCGGCGGCACTTCTGAGAAGCCCTCGCGCCTGCTGAGAAGTTTGCCACCGCCAAAAGATGTCCAGCTTCAGAGTTGTGCTCTGGGATCTCGAGGAGTGGCGGATGTGTGCATCTGCCCGCCCATCCGCTGCCCGGGGTCCCTGGAGGACGACCCCGCGGCAGTGGATGTGGACATTTTGGCGGCGCAGTTTCTCCCCGAGTCCCCGAGATCCGCTTGCCCAGGAGGCTACCCGGACGCACCCGTATCGACTATCGAGAATGGACGCCCCCCCCATCGCATATCCCAGGGTTAGGCTCCAACTTTCTGGTCCATTCGAAAAACCCCCGAAGCTTGGGATAGGGCTGGACGTTTTGAGCAGGGCTCGCTGCTGCTGTCGCCGCGGACGGTGTCCATACGAGACGTCTGTCGCCTGCCCAGCAGCGACCGCCGTCGGTTCCGGACACCTCGGCCACCAGAACCTGTCCATATCCGCCGTTCCTGGGTCGTGCCCTTTGAATCTCGAGGAGTGGTGGATGTGGATGTCTGCCCGCCCGCGTGGGCGAGCAGACACCCACGCCCACCACCCCCAGGAGGCCCCAGGACACGACCCCGCAGCAGAGGACATGTACATCCTGTGGCAACGCTTGCCGGTGGGCAGCGCCCCCATTCCGCCCCGTGCCAGCCAGGCCTCCCAGGAGTTGCTTAATTTTCTTTCGGTCGCGGTGATCCTCTTTCCCCGGACCCAGCCCCGCGGGCCCGTCCTCGGCCCCTGGGGCTGTCGAACGGGGGTGCGGGACGAAGCTTCGGGTCGGATTCGACGCGGACATCGACGAGTTCGACGAGGATTCGGCGCGGATAGCGGCGCGACGGGACCGACAAGGTCCCCCGTGGCCAGAAAAGCCCCTTCGTTCTTGGTCCCTCTTTCTTTGTTGTGATAGCACGTATATCTCCAGGTGATCGTTTTCTTGTTCAATGTTTTGCCGATCGGCGCGGGTCCTCGCACCCCCTCCCCTCGGCGTAGATCTGGGCTGTTTTTGGCGCTTGTTTCAAGCAGGTGGGGTTCGCCCCCATATGACGCACTGTTGCAATCAGTGGCATTAAACAGATGTCCAGAGCCAGACTCCCCCCCTCCCCCCCCCTCCGCCCAATGTCGAAACGCCGAATAAGAAATTGTTCACGAGGAAGGCGGTCGGAAGCCCCCTGCCCAGACATCCAACGGCTTGGAAAAATCAGGACGGAGGTTCCTTTTCGTTTTTCGGCCTCTGGGGGCCCTCGCCAGGCCCTGGGACTGCCAGAAAGCGACTTAGGATGCAAAGCTGGCCCTAACGAAAGGGCTGATATTATTAAGGATCAAGAAACAGATCGGCGCGACGGCACAGAAGATGCTGTTGTGGCCTCGGACCCAGCGCTCGAAGTGGCTCGATGGACATACACCGTGCCGTTTTGTCGGCCAAATAGCCAAGGGATCCAGCGAAGCAGCTTGATCCGTAGACGCTCCATCGACATACCACGGGAATCTGGAGCGTCTCTACCCCGAGCTCCGTGTCCGACCAGACGACTCGGTGAACACTACCAGCCCCTCACGGCTGGACGGGGGGAAGGAGAAGTATTCGGACAGTTTTTCCATAGTATCCGGCTTTGGAGACGCGTTTCGGGCCTCGGAACCGTCAAACATCGATCTGTGATGGATGAAGATTTGCCAGGATGGATGCTGGCAGAGTCCGGGATCGTGGGCTTGGCCGGGGGGGAGGAGCCGGATCGAGGACGGAAGTATCCGAAGGTACGTTTTCGAAGCCTTGGCGCCCTCGTCACCGCTGCCCGATTTGTCCGGTGTCTCCTGTCGGAGTGCACCCCTGGGCCCCTGGAAAGTGCTGGGGTTCGGCTTCTAATCGGCGGCGAGCGCGGGGGGGAAATGAGAAGGGGCGGGCCTCCTCAGAAGGCTCGGAAGTCCCCCTGCCTTCTGAGAAGTTTTCCAAGCCTTCCCCGAAGACACAGGACACTTCTCAGATGGCGCGAGGGGTTCTGAGAAGTCCCGCCGCCTTCTGAGGTGGCCTTCTCCTTCTCAGTTCCCCCCTCGCTCGCCGCCGATTTCAGGCAGGGGCGGGGCGGGCGGGGCGGGGAGGAGGAGGAACAGGATCGAAGGTCCGCGTTTTTCCCAACCATCCTGTGGCGCTGGGACGTCGTTTTGAAGAGACAGCGCCCCGCGTCTGCTTCCCACACGCTATCCTCCCCCTCCTCCCTCCTCATCGTCATCGCCACCATCCTCCTTCCCAACCAACCATCCTGTCGTGTTGGGTCCTCGTTTCGAAGAGACGGCGCCCCGCGTTCCTTCTTCTCCTCCGCCTCGCCTCTCCTCCCCATCCTCCTTCTCCTCCGCCTCGCCTCTCCTCCGCCTCGCCTCTGCCCCTCGCGCCCAGTACAGCGTTTCGTGGCCCCATGGGGAGCTCCACCAGAGGCCCCAGTGGCCGTGATCGCATGCGCCCCGCGCCACCCAGTACAGCGTTTCGTGGCCCCATCGGGGGCTCCACCGAAGGCCGCACTGGCTGTGAGCACATGCGTCCACGCCCGAGAGCACAGCGTTTCGTGGCCCCATCGTGGGCTCCACCGAAGGCCCCACTGGCTGTGATCACATGCGTCCGCGCCCGGGAGCACAGCGTTTTGTGGTCCAGGAGGAGGAGGAGGAGGAGGAGGAGGAGGAGGAGGAGGAGGAGGAGGAGGAGGAGGAGGAGGAGGAGAGAGGAGGAGGAGGAGGAGGAGGAGGAGAGGAGGAGGAGGGGGAGGAGGAGGAGGAGGAGGAGGAGGAGGAGGGAGGAGGAGTGAGAGGGAGGGAGGAGTAAGAGGGAGGAAGGCGGAGATTGCAGGGATGGCGGCAGCGGTTGGAGGAGGGAGGACGATGGAGGACGAGGAGCAGGATCTGTGGAGGAGGAGGAGGATGAGGATGAGCAGCAGCAGGAGAAGCAGCAGCAGGAGGAGGAGGAGGAGGAGGAGGAGGAGGAGGAGGAGAAGGCGGGGCGACGACGTGGAGGCGGCGACCGCGGCGGCGAAGCGGCGGCCTTCCCCGCCCTGGGCACGCCGGGAGCTGCTCACCTGCGGCGACGACTACTCGGTCAAGAGATGGGACTCGCGGAAGCTTGCCGACGGGCGCGCTGGCCCGCCTGCCTTGGGATGAGGCCGGGTGGATGGACCCGTCTGTGTGTAAGAAATACTTTTCGCTGGAGTGATCTTCGTTTTTGCCTTGATTTGGGCCCTGCGACGATCACAAATCGATCCGACTCGAAACATGTCGCAGAGAGATGGGGACTCGGGTTTTGGTCGTGCTTTTTGGCAATGTTGCAATTTTTTCGTGACGTCGGATCTCCGGGGAGGGGGGAGGAGGACCACGTCGGTGGCGACGGAGGCGCTGACCAGTGTCGAAGACGACGACGAGGGCCGCAGCGACTGGCGGACGTGGGCGCGTCGGCGTTGCCGAAGAGACTACGACGACGACCGCGACGACGGCGACGACCACGACGGCGAGGGCGACGACGCCAGCGACCTCGGCGGCGACGTCGACGAGGACCACGAGCACATCATACACACGGGGGCCCATGCCAGCTGACCGCCCATCTCGGCAGGGCAGATGGCGAAGGGCAGCGGCACGATCCACCTGCCGTGGGGGGGGAGCGCAGGAGGAGTGCCTCCCACCCCTCCCTCCCTCCCTCTCTCCCTCCCTCCCTCCCTCCTCCTCCTCCTCCTCCTCCTGCTCCTCCTCCTCCTCCCTCTAGCTAGCATTTGGCAGATGTCGAGCACACCCCAGCCTCATTGAACCGTGCCCTCTTGCCGCTTAACGCTAGCTGCACAGGCTTCTTTTGGGGCCAGCGGGGGAGGGGGATGATGCAGTGACTATGTTCCTCCCGCGACTGAGACGTGTAAAATTACAGGGTACGGTGTTTCACCTACTAGCAATGCGAATCGTGTGCTACAGCCCAGTGGCAGCAAATGCCAACGACCGACTGGAGGACATCAGCTCGAAATTACGCTTGATGGGATGTTATCCTCCTTTCTGGCACGCACAAATGGGCAGGTGCAACGCCACACTGTGATGCATCACAACAGGCTTACTATTGGGGCAGACAGGTTTGGGGAAACAGGGGATATTAATCATCTAAGTTTGCGGGGCGACGATTTCGCTGCGAAGGGAGGATCACCGCACGCGACGTGCGGAATATCTATGGCCACCCCAGCGGAACTGCAGGGAAGGGTTAGTGGATTGCGCGTAGCGACAAGAGGATCCGGCATAACAATCTCCACGGCATCCCCAACACTACGGAGCTGTCAGTCGAAACAAGTTGACCAACCGGCTTGAGCAGGTGTGTGGTGGATTATGCGCGCGCGACACCATAGTGACAGGAGGGGACCTGATTTCACAATTTGGCAAGCACAGAGGGTCGGAAGGGGAATGTTGCGCGCGCAGTGAGCACAGCAGCAGGGAAGTACGGCGAGGCGATAGAGAACGGAAGCGCTACAGCAATGAGGACATTTTGCGAGGGGGCGACATGAGTATAGCAACAACGTGGCACGACGGCGGCCTTACCATTTATTCGGCTAGCGGAACTAGCTCGAGACTGGACCGCGTTTTTATCCGCGGGAGGCATTTCCACTAGCTGAGACGTGTACACATTTCAGGGGTATTGCAACGAGACTTCAGTTGATCAAGAAATTTCTCCAGTGATATCACCTACCAGCAGTCTTACTACCTGAGCGGCATCGTTGGCTACCAGGCGCCCTTCGACAGCGCGTCTGCGGAAACTGCCAGGACAGCTACGACTAGACCGCATCAAGCTGACCAGCTGCCTGCGCAGAGGGGACCGCGGGCGCAACTTGTTTGAGGGGATGGGGCAGGGCATGAAGGAACTAGAGGCGACGGCAGAGTGGGGGGAGGCAGTGACGGTAGCGAAACTTGACCATCTATGCAGCTTATGGCACAAGGGGGCAGTGGGCTGTATGTCGGATGCGCTCCAGAAGTCCAAGTAGGACGCCACGCCGGAGGACGCGTTCCTGAAGCAACTCGGCTGGATGGCGATGGGGGGGTCAGGACATGGGGGAATGAGTATCCGGTGCCGTTTTGTTGGGGTACAATGTGTACCTTCTGTGCGGGTTGCAAGTGCAATTTGTACCTTCTCCCCCCGTTAACATCCTCGCACATGTCGCGGGCGTTGTCAAAGTACATTTTGTACCTTGTCTGCGTGGCGTCGGTGCAAATTGTACCTTCTCCGTGGGGCGTAGGTACAATTTGTACCTCGGTTGCGCCTCTCTCATCATCTGGACTGATCCACCCATTTGCATCCCGCCAAGCAACGGAGGATGGAGTTACTGACGGGACGACGAGACATGCGAGAACACTCGGCGAACGCAGAGTCGGACGGGGCGCTAGCAGCGGCGCGACAGGATTTTGACTTTGCCGCGGCGGTTTTGAAGAAACTCAAAGAAGGAGGGGAAAACGCCGATGGGGCAAATCGTGGGGGGCATCTGGGATGCGCGCGAAAAACGCGACCACGACGATTGTCCGGGCTGCGCTTCGTGTGCCAACGAAACGGCAGAGGTCCCTTCAAGCGATATCACGATGTTCCCGAGACCTGTTGGGGCAAGGGGGAGTGGTCCCAGGAGCTGGGTGAGCATCCGCGCGGCGGAGGCCTGGCAGCCACTCCCATCGACGTGGGCCAACAACGGGCAGACATGGGGGAACGTGCGCGGGGCAGAGTAACCTTGCCAGCGGACTGGGGTCCGAAGAGTTGCGCGCGTAACGACGGGCAGGCCGAGCGCGAAGAAGGGAAGGGATGTTCAGAGAGGGGTGCCCCTATGGAGCTCCCTTGGGTGATTGCGGGCGCAATCGAGCATCTGCGTGACCCTGGGTGAGGGGGGCAGGGAAGAAAGAAGCCGGGGGGCAACTTGTGGTGCACGTGAGCAGTGCAACGCGTGGGAAGGGACGGGCGCTGCATCTGAAGATGGGATGGATAGCAGGAGAGACGCCAGGTAAAAGGCTCGCAGCTTGTGGCGTTATGCCGCTCTGGTTGGGGCGCGCGTAGAATGCAGGGTTTGGATTTGGGCAGCTGCGTGGGGGAATGGCTGAGCGCCGATTCCAACTCCGGGCGCCCTCTTACGGGGGCCGAGCACGCGCCGCCCCAGGTGGGCGCATAGGGGGCTGGCCCACCGATGTCGAGCAAATGCGTCAGTCTGCGTTGCAGTGCGCTGGCGAGCGCGGCCGAGCCTTGACGATGTATGCTACCAGCGACAGAGCAATGAACGCGGCATGTGTCGACGGCAGACTCGACGCAGAAGTCGCGGAGGAATCGCAGATGAGGTTCGCGCTTTTCCCCAGGCAACTTCGCGGCGCGTGCGAGGTCGGGCTTGACCAGTGGTTCGCGTGTGGAAAAGCACTCCCTGAACATGCCATCCACGAGACGGCAAAGGCGATCCTGGGCGAGAGAGTTGCCGTCGCTGTGAATCCTGCACGGACGACGTGCACGGACGACGCGCGCGCGCGCCCGCCCCCCCCCCCCCCCCGCAGAGCTGCTCGGCAACTGCGGCGGCCGCGATCCTCAGCGGGGCCACCGTCAGACTCGCGACGCAACTTACGCAGGGCGAATAGGGGTCACGCCGCTACGGGGCAGCGGCGCAAAACGAACGCGGCAATTGGAGAGACCCCGCGGGAGATGCGAAGACCGGGGTCCTTCGCGCCTGCAGACCAGGGTTTTGCAGGGGCGATCCAGCGGCGCCGCGCTGGCGCAGTGCGCGCGGCATGGCGCCTGCGCGGCGTCTTTTGGAGAGGTGGGGCACCGGGCGCAAACGAGAGGGCGATGTTGGTGGATTCCGTGGCTGGTGCAGCCCTATGCGGATTGGGGGCATTTGTCTTGCCCTAGTGTCTAAACGACATATTGGATGTGAAGCTGGGATGTACTTTCGCTCTCTGCTGGCGGACTGAGCTGGGCGTTAGAGTACGGAGAGACGAGGTGCCACACTACGAATCGTTGATTTTTTTTTTGGGGGGGGGGGTAGAACGGCGCGCCGTGGCTCCGCGAGTGCGAAGGCTGCAGTCGCCTCGGCAATTGGCGCTGTATCCTCAGGGGCGCAGTCGCGCGCGGGCGGCTGTCCAGGGGGATTTCTACTTGGGCGAGGCAGCCGGGGATTCAACGACTCAGGGGCGGCGGCGTCTGGGGACAATGCGCGCCTTGTGTTCGCCAGTTATTAACTTATTTCCTAGCGCTAGGACAGGAGCGCGACGAGTTCAGTGAGCGGCGCGACCGGCGGAGTGCCGAAACTGCGATCTTTCGACCAGGGGCGGCGTGCAGTGGATCGCCGCAGATGTCTCGATATAGCGAGTGGCAGCAGTAGAGCGAGAGCAGAAGGAGGAGGCGCGCGGTGATCAGGGGGCGGGGGGAGGTCGACGAGCCGCATTGCCGCGACTGGGAGGAACGACGATCCAGGCCTTGAGGGCCCGCGGGAGAGAAGCCCCCCATCCGCCCGCTGGTTGCCCGCCTGTTTGTGGCAGATCCGCGCGCCCGCGTTTGCTGCCGGGAGACTTGCAGCTGGCCGCGCTGCGAGGGCCTGTGGATGCCGCGGCATTTGCTCTCGCAGCCGCAGCGTCCAGGCGTTCCCTGTTGCAGAAGTAGCTTCTACGAAATGCCCCATCTGCTATTTTGTGGCTCGAAACCTCGGCGACTTGCAGGAGCGTGTGCGCCGCCGCCGCGTGGGCCCCAGGGAAGCTAGCGAGCCGCGGCGTGATGGGGCTGTCAGCGTTGGCGCGGGGGCCCAGGGGAGGGCTGGAGGGAGGCGGGCGCTCAGGATTGGAGAGTATAAGCGAGGGCTGCATGAAGGGGGCCGCCCCATCGGGCGCGGAAGCCTTGGGGTCTGGGGACTGGCCGCCAGTGGGGGCGGGGGCCGACGTCCGCGGGCAGGCGGGGGGGGCGACGACTGCCCGGCAGCGCTCCAGAGCTTGCAGAGGCCGTCCTTGAAGACGGCCCAGGAAAGTCGCGAAACCTTACGCGCCGCCGCGGGTTTCTGGCTCATCTCAGCGATCTTGCGCGCGTTGCCAGCCGCGCGAGAGGCGGGGCAACTGCGCGGGCACAGGGCGCGCAGCGCCAGAGAGGGGCGCGAGCTAGGGC